GAAGAAGAAGAAGAAGAAGAAGAAGAAGAAGAAGAAGAAGAAGAAGAAGAAGAGGAGGAGGAAGAAGAAGACAACAACAACAACAACAACAACAACAACAACAACAAAGTGGCTCAGTTAGCATGCCCGGTTATAGAAGTAAACTTTAGAAAGATTTTTTAAATAACAATTAACACGTTCTCCTTCATGCCCCCCCCCTCCCCAACCCTATCATAATAATTATAATAATATAGGCTACTATAAAATTATAATTACTTTTTTTCAACTTCCTGCCATTTCTTGAACTTGCCGAAATCCTCCTTCATCTGTTTTGAATGTTCCACATGCTTGACGAACATAACGAACTTAGCGAACATCTGGTGAAGCTTCTCCTTCTTCTCCTTCTGCGCCTTCAGTTCCTTCATGTAGTTCCAGGCCTGTAAATATTTATAGAAATATGACCCATAAAGCATTGGACAATATTGTAACAACAGGCAAGTTTGATGGAAAGAGAGGCGGAGGTAGACAGAGGGAAAAGATACTGGACAAGATACATGGCTAAGAGCAGCAAGAACAACAGACACCATTGCTGCAACGCAGGACAGAGTGAAATGGAGGTCCATGATCGCCCACGCCAGTCAGCAAGGCACCGGATGATGATGAGGATGACCCGTAAATGGCGTATAGCTTCTTTTTAGTAAGACGTTTACGGCACTTGTAACAAAATTTTATAAGAATAGATACATTTTTAGCCTTTTGTGAAGCTTTTGCATGCGTGTACAATTGACTTTGCTATACTATCCTTGCACCGTACGATTTTCCGGGAAATAGAAATGTTTCTGAATATTCTCAGGTCTATGAATGCAATGATATTATTATAGATTGTGAAGGGTATAGAGCTTACTGCTGAAAGGAAACTAGAGCTATACAAAATGCTTTTTATTATTATTATAATAATAATAATAATAATAATAATAATAATAATAATAATAATAATGATAATAATAATAATAATAATAATAATAATAATAATAATAATAATAATAATAATAATAATAATATTACTGTTATTTTTATCATTATTATCAGCATTATTATTATTATTATTACTATTATTATCATTATTATTATTATTTTTATCCAGATGATGATGATGACGACGACGATGATGATGATGATGATGATGTTATTATTATCTTGGGGTAACTGACCTTGTAAGCGAAAAAGACAAACTTCTTCTCCTTCTCCTCCTTGTCACCTTCCTCATCCCAGAATCCTTTCTCTCCGTGCTCAGCAAGGTGCATCTTCAGCTTATACAGGAACTTCATCAGGGGACTCTTTTCCCCTCCCTCCTCATCATCATCCTCCTCCTCTTCCTCCCCGCTGTCCTTCCCATAGCTGTCCTCCCCATAGCTTTCCTCACTGTCTTTGTCCTCTCCGTATTTCTCGGCAAAGAGCTTCTCCACGAATTTCTTCATCTTCATGAAGAGTTCGAAATGTTTGCCTTGTTTGTCCATGCCCTTGTCGTCCTCATCTGAAATAAATCAAAGATTCAAAATGATTGCTATTAACTTGCTTGTCGATTTATAGTCGAACCTGCTCTAACGGCCTCATGTCCAAGACATTTCACCTGTATAAACGACCGCCTCCCACTTTCTCCTTTCCGTTTTTACCACATAACAATTCCCTGTCCAAAAGGCCCACCTGTCAAGACAACCACAGCTCTTCCCTTCGACAATTATTGACAGCTGTCCTGAGCAATTTCAACTGTATTTCTTTGTCTTTGTAGTTTTTATTGTTCAACCTAATATTCTATTGTGTCCTCCAAAATATTCTAAATAAGGTGGATAACGGTGTAAAAACAAACTTTATTTAAAAAATCTAAGAAAGGGGGCAGAGGGGCCCGTTAAGAAGAGAAATGCCTAGAGGACGCATTTTTCTTTTGTTATTTTGTTTTTGTGTATTAT